GAGAGTTCCCAGGCGTGTGCAGAGTTCTGCTTCCTCCTTAGCCAGGAGAGCAAGGCCTTATTGTAGAGTACTTGTATCTGCTCCCCCTTGTTTTCTCAATTTTCCCTTTCCACCCCAAATTAAAGAGGGGGCTTTATGGTATTCTTTCCTGACTTCTTTTTAAGGCCCCAAAATTTGCCTAGTGAAAATAATATCAGAGGCTTTTTTTTTAAAGCAAAGTTTTTGATTTTATGCCCTGCTAGGAAGAAGAAAAACTTATCCACCAGGAATTAAATAATTTAAAAGCTACTGTTTCAGCTCCAACTACAAATCTGGTAGGTCTTAAAGACAAAATAAAATATAATTTATATTGTTCTCTCTGCTCTAACCATTGCTGACAGTTGTAAAGTTTACTGTAAGTTTTACAATTAGACTCCTCAGACTCCTTATTTTTTCCCCTTTAATGCCATTTCAATTTTACTCTTAGATTCTTTTTAGACTCTTACACACACATAAAACACACACACACACACACACACACACACACACACACACACACACACACTAAAGCTCTCATTCTCTCTATATGCATATATTTCTATGCTTTTTAACCTTGTATAAAAACCTTGTTTTTATATCATTTAGCTTTTAAACAATTATTGTTTATATCCCACTCTCCTTGTGCTGGTTTATGACCATAATAAAGATTTGATTGAGGTGAGACCTAAATTAACCAATAAAGACAGAAATACCATATTGTTTTTAAAAAGACGTTTCGTTTTATTTTCTGCTCTTCAGAAATTGATGAAAGAATGTATGGTGAGGATGATCTATTGTGAGATGCTGGGCTATGAGGCGTCTTTTGGATACATCCATGCCATTAAGCTGGCACAGCAAGGGAATCTTTTTGAGAAAAGAGTTGGTAGGTGTTTTCATTAATTAGGTGTTTCTTAATCTTCAAATCCATAAATCATAACGCTTTGTGTATTCTTTACGTTGGTAAAAACATGCTTTTGGCCCTGCTATCTACAAAACCTTCACAGTATTCAGCTGCTTGGAGGAGACATATTGCATTCTTGCTATAAGTTGATCTGAACTTGTACAGTACAGAGAGGTGGAAACTATTTGGTGTCCTAATGTAGAACATTTTCCCCTTTTGTCTTAGGTTATTTGGCAATTTCTTTATTTCTGCATGAAAATCATGAGTTGCTGGTTCTACTGGTGAACACAGTGGTGAAGGTATGGCTTCGCAGACTATTTTTAAACCATAATTTATTGAGCTGACATGGTCGACTAGGCTTAAGGGAAAGCAGAATGCTTGATAAAAGTTTGCCGTTGGAGGAGAAAGAAGGAATAGTTTAAGACAGGGGTCTCCAAACTTGACAACTTTAAGACTTGTGGACTTCAACTCCCAGAATTCCCCAGCTAGTATGGCTTGCTGGGGAATTCTGGGAGTCGAAGTCCAAAAGTCTCAAAATTGCCAAGTTTGGAGCGTCCTTTTAACATTTGCCGAGCTTCCTTTCTGGCTAACTATGAGTTAATGATTTGTGTGAATCATAGCAATGAGAGCTTGTCAACATACACATCTGCACACACAAATTGTGCTTAATGCCTTATCTGGCCTTTCATTGGTAGTGGGATCTACTGAAGGCCATTTTTTTTTAATTTACAAGAAAGCAACCACAGTATCGTTTGAATATAAACTTTCTTTGATCCCTGCACTGCTATCTTGTAAACATTGCAAGTTAGTTTAGATTGTTTCGCCCATATAAACTGGCTGTGCCGTTATCATAACAAGATAATGTCTGTTTATCTGTCTGTTTAATGTCTGGTGGTTGACATTTATCCAGCCAGAGAAAGTGTAGAGAGGTTTAGTGCAGGACTGAGTGATACACAATGTTATTAATGTTGTGCACCTGTGGGGGAAAATAAAGCACAAGAGAAATGAGGGCAGTGTGGAGGGGTGTGTGATAATAGCAATAGCACTTAGACCAGGGGCCTTCAAACTTCAGCTTTAAAACTTGTGGACTTCAACTCGCAGAATTCCTCCTCCAGTCATGTTAGCTCAGGAATTCTGGGAGTTGAAGTCCACAAGTCTTAAAACTTGCCAAGTTTGAAGACCCTTGACTTAGATTTATATACCGCTTTATGGTGCTTTACAGCCCTCTTAAGCGGTTTACAGTCAGCTTACTGACCCCAACAATCTGGGTCCTCGTTTTACCCACCTTGGAAGGACAGAACGCTGAGTCAACCTTGAGCCTGGTGAGATTTGAACTGCCAAATTGCAGGCAGCCGGCAGTCAGCAGAAGTAGCCTGCAGTACTGCACTCTAACCACTGTGCCACCATGGCTCAGTGGAAAATGGAGAAGGAAAGGACAGGAGAGAGGGGCGGGTGGGTTGGTCAGCAAGTAGCCTGGAGGAGAATACTGAAAAGAAGACCCCCAAATACTGGGGGCTTCCGGGCAACAAGAAAGGTCATAAAATGGGGCAGAACTCACTTAACACATGTCTCACTTACCCACAGAAATTTTGGACTCGGTGGTGGTGGTAAGTCAAGGGCTACCTGTGGTTAAACCCATTTTAATACATTTCTTTTACTCATTGTGGCAGGATTTGCAGAGTACGAATCTCATGGAGGTATGCATGGCCCTCACAGCAGCCAGCCAGCTTTTCCCCCAAGAAATGATTCCTGCTGTCCTTCCACTCATAGAAGACAAACTCCAGCATTCAAAGTACGTGTCGCACCTTGGTTCTATTTGCTGAGAAAGGTCTAGTTTGTTAGAGATCAAGGGTATTGCAAGTAATGCAAAGCCAGAACTGAACATCGTGTTTTCCGTCCCTTAACTGTCTCCAGTGTAACCAATCCAGTTCTGGCAATATGTTTTCCTAATGGTTAGTTCAAGTGCAGTTTAGCCTGGTCCTCCTCCTTCCAGCTGGGTGACCTTGAGGCAGCCTCTTGAGGTGTCATGCCTCTGTTGGAGTCTGACTTTGAGGGAGAGGAGGAACAACCGACAGGGAGTGGAAGTGTTGCTCCGGATGTTGTGGAGGAAACTGGGGAAGGGCAGAGGCCAGCTGGGCATTCAGAGGAAGACCCCGGCCCATCCCCTCTTCATCCTAGGACATGCAGGGAGGAGCGGATAAGGGAGAAACGTGAATGGCGTGGTCTATGGGAGAGGAAAGGGCCCTGGTCCCCTTCATGGGCTGCAGCCGTGAGAACTGTTTAAAAGGAGAAACTGTGCAGTGCTGGAAGCAAAGCATGAAATAATTCTAGTCTTATCAGTTCTTATCTGAGTTCTGGCGTCCTTCCCAGTGTGTGTATTTCGATATCTGTGGACGTCTTCAAGCCCTTATCCTGCCTTGTCTGATTAATTGCTTCAGTGTGGTTTGTGTTGTTGTTTTTCCTATTTATAATTTATACGTATTTTGGCATTTCTTCCTTTTCGCAACTGTTTGTGAGGGAGTTTTTTCTCCAGTCAATGACAATTGGAGCTTTGAAGCCAAGTTGAAGGAATTAAAGGGACTTCACCTGTTTTTGTGACTTTGTTGCTTTTGTATCCCACCCTTCGTTGCTTTTGTATCCTCATCACATGAGGAATTAGAGCATTTACTTTCATTTCCCCACACTCCCCCCTTCATTCCCTATCCCCTATTCCTCCCAGTTCGTGGCAGACTGTCACCGCAGTGAAGCACAAGCAAGCATAGAGTGGCAGCTGACACTACAAGCGTGAAGCTTGTGAGATCTTAGAAAGCTTCTCTAAACACAGAGCTCAGGGTCAGCCTTGGATGTAAGAGCTCATCTCGTCTCAACTCAATCTCATTCTTTCTTTTTCTTTTTAGGGAAATTATTCGGAGAAAAGCCGTCCAGGCACTCTACAAGTTCTACTTAATTGCTCCTAACCAAGTCCAGCACATTCACGACAAATTCCGAAAGGCGCTTTGTGATAGAGATGTGGGTGTGATGGCAGCTTCTTTGCACATCTATCTGCAGATGGTGAAGGTGGGATTCTTAAGCATCTTAGGCTGTTCATGTTGACAGCACAATTCCATGACAGAATGTAAACAAGAACGGCTTTCATCCATATAGAAATGATTCATGGAGGAAAATATAAATATTTAGCGTATGTTTTTAAGGAGAAAGGGAACTAAGTGAAGATTGAGATCAAAACACATTTTATGTGCCTATAAATGTTGTATGTGAGTCAGAGAACAAAGGGAAAGTTGGAAAATAATGTTTATCCGTAATCCTTTTTAGTAGCTTTTCTTTTTTATTATTATTACTTTTAATAACAGATCGTGAGGCATTTAGCTCAAGAGATTCCAATCCTTTTTCGCACTGCTAATTCAATGTTTTCTCATAACTCTACAGTCTCAGTAATTGCTTTGTCCATTTACTGATATTGTATCTTGGTATCAATTAGTATTTTAAGGTACAGGGTTCTCTTTAATGAAAAAGGAACTTGCTATAATAGGACATGTTCCACCGAAATAAAATCACGATATGGTGGGCAAGAGAGAAACAATTGGAGTCTTAAAACATTCCCACAATCTTACCCTGAAGATCTGATTAAATCTCGTGTAATAATACTGAATTTTTGCAAGGTTTGATAGCTCTGTGAAATTTCAAACCTTTTAAAAAGTGACATTTGCTTCTTTTAAAAAGTGGGTTCCCTTGATGACACGGGCAGTGTAGACTCTATACCACTGATTTAGACAGTACTTCTGAAAAGGACCCCTTAGAAATATATCATTTAAATTAAATTTTGTACTTGCTGATCGCAGGGTGTTTGTTCCATGTTCCATGTTTAAATGTCAGTTGCCTTCAGGTGTGAGAAATTATTAAAACATTAGCTTTCACACGAAAAGCACTGCAGGGCAAATGGCGACGAAATACCATTCATTCTTGATTTGTCCGTTCAGTCTTAATTGTGTGTGATGCATTTTTGTCCAGGAAGATTCCTCGGAATATAAGGATTTGACAAGCAGCTTTGTCACAATTCTGAAGCAGGTGGTCGGGGGAAAACTCCCCGTGGATTATAACTATCACAACACTCCAGCCCCTTGGTTGCAAATCCAGCTTTTAAGAATATTAAGGCTACTTGGAAAAGATGACCCAAGGTAAATTCTTTAAAACTTCGATATGAAAAGTGGGAGAGAAAAGTGTTGCTTGCCATACGGTTTGCAGATACGAATAATGTGCACGCTAAATAATTGTTCAGAGTTATTGAATTGTTTTAAGTCTGATAAATCAAACATTTATTTTCAATGCACAACATGCGTACAATGAAATGAAAGAGTTGTGGGACAACACAGTTTCTCTCTTTTATTTTTTTTAAAAAAGTGACAGTGAACATTTTCTTTCTCCTTTGTCAGCACCAGTGAATTAATGTATGACGTTTTAGATGAAACTTTAAGGAGAGCAGAAATCAATCACAACATTACTTATGGTAGGTGAAGTAAGATTATTTTAATGTAAGGGGAACCAAATGTGTCTTTGTCACTTGTAATACGGGTAGTCCTCGACTTACAATAGTTTACAATTACAATCAGAATAGAGCTGGGAGGTGCTTGGCAACTGGTTCATACTTATGACGGTGGCAGTGATCCCCTTTTGAGACCTGACAAGCAAAGTCAATGGGGAAGCCAGATTCACTTAACAACCAGGTTCCTGACTTGTCAACTGCAGTGATTTCACTTGACGGCTGCGGCAAGGAAGGTCGTAAAATGGGGAAAAACTCACTTAACAAACGTCTCACTTAACATCAAAAATTTGGGGCTCAGTTGTCGTAAGTCAAGGACTTACCTGCATTAGACATTCCTGCTGGTGGCAGACATAATTCTTCATAGAGTATTGACGTATTTGTTCTACAATAGAATAGAATTCTTTATTGGCCAAGGGCTCCGGCAGTTTCCCCCATTTAAATCATGAGTCTCGAGCCAAACTTTCAAAACTTAAAAAGGATTTATTGGGAATTAAACTGTCCGGGATTGCCTGGGTGTAGCTGACTCTGAGACACATCATTCACTGTCACCCTTGACCCTGGTTTTCCCCCCCACCCCCTGGGTGTATCGTAATTCATATTCTCCAATGGGACACATCCATAGCTAAGAGTCATCAATCATATTCTCCAGTTAGAATTTTGTGTGGCAGAATCTTCAGTCACCTAGTTACTATCTTTGAAAACATTTATGGAATGCACTTTCGGTTTGCAAGTTGCCGCACTGCTCCCCCCCTCCCTTTCTGTTGGCAACTCTAAAAAGACCATAGAAATAGTTTATGAGTTGACATTTGGACACACAAGGAATTTGTCTTTGGTACGTAAATTAAAATAAGATACATTCATCAAGAATCATAAGATACAACGTTTAGTGATAGTCATAGGATACTAAATAAACAATCAAATCATACTAGGAAACAAATAAAACAATATAAACTGTAAAGATACAAGCAACAAGGTTATAGTCATAAGTGGGAAGAGATAGGTAATAGGAAGGATGAGAAGAAGAATAGTAATACAGTCTTGCTAAATAGTTTGACAGTGTTGTGGGAATTAGTTGTTTAGCAGAGTGATGGCGTTTGGGAAAAAACTCCTTGTGTCTAGTTGTTCTGGTGTGCAGCGCTCTGTAGCAATCGTTTTGAGGGTAGGAGTTGAAACAGTTTATGTCCGGGATGTGACATAAATAAACAGGCAGGAAAGCCTTCTAATGCACTACGAATGCTTTCCTGCCTCTGTTAGCTGCTTGGCATCATTTGAATATTAATGCAGTCCCATTTTATTATATATATATATATTAACATATATATATATATATGTGTGTGTGTATGTGCGTGTATGTGTGTATATGTATTTTCGAAGTTAAAATACAAAACGAAGAAGAAAAGAAAGAGGAAACAAACTGACAATTCATCAACGTCAGTGTCAATGATATATTCGTTATTTATTTTTTGTACATTCGGACTTCTGGTTTTGTTGTTGGCATCGTTTTATTTTTTTTAATGCATGGGGTCTCCAATGTCCTCTCTGCCTTTTCTGCAGCAATCCTGTTCGAATGTGTCCACACCATTTACGCCATTCACCCCAAACCTGATCTGCTTGAGAAGGCTGCCAAATGCATTGGGAAGTTTGTCTTGTCCCCTAAAATTAATTTGAAATATTTGGGTAAGTTCTCTCGTTTTTCTTTTTCCTCGTTTTTCCAGCGGAATAAATGCTGAATGCCTACAGTTTCATTTTTCCAACTTGCTAGTTTTTTCTCCCCTTTAGGGTTAAAGGCTTTAACCTATGTAATCCAGCAGGATTCGAACCTTGCTCTGCAACACCAAATGACAATAATTGAGTGCCTGGAACATCCCGATCCCATTATTAAAAGAGAGGTAATAAATACCAGGTTATGATTATTGTTAATGGAGTTGCGCACATTTAGCAATGTGATCAATAAATAATTGCATTTCTTTGATTATTCCACCATCTGGTCCTCAGACTGAATGCAGCTTATTTATTTATTTTTTTATCCATCTGTCCGTCTGTTTCACTTGAGTGAAATTTACCCATTTTCTCCTTCAGACGTTGGAACTTCTGTATCGAATAACCAATGAACAAAATGTCACTGTCATTGTACAGAAGATGCTTGACTACATAAATCAAAGCAAAGAGGAATATGCCATCATCAACATTGCTGGGAAAATAGCAGAATTAGCCGAAAAATATCCTTTTACCTGCTGCGCGTGCCTGCTCCATTCAGATGAACTTCTTTATCTCTCCACATGTTTTAATTGTTTGTGTTGATATATCATTTTGATGGTTGTTCCATTTTATTGCATCTGAAACTCAGGTTTTTTTTTAAAGGATGTGTCTTGCGGTACCCTTGAAATTAACCCAAAGAATAGAATAAAATAGGAATAGGAATAGAGTAGAGTAGAGTAGAGTAGAGTAGAGTAGAATAGAGCTGGAAGGGACCTTGGAGGTCTTCTAGTCCAGCCCCCTGCTCAAGCAGGAAACTTTACACTATTTCAGATAAGTGGCTGTCCAGTCTCTTCTTAAAAACCTCTAGTTTTGAAGCATTTACAACTTCTGGAGGCAAGTTGTTCCACTGATTTAATTGCTCTTAACTGCCATGAACTTTCTCCTTAGTTCTAGGTTGCTTCTCTCCTTGATTAATTTCCAACTTTATTTCTTGTCCTGCCCTCTGGGGCTTTGGAGAATAATTTGACCCCATCTTCTTCGTGTCAGCCCCTCAAATACTGGAATACTGCTCTCATATCACCCCTAATCCTTCTTTTCTTTAGACTAGCCAGACCCAAAACCTGCAGCCATTCTTCCTATGGTTTGATGGTATCAGGTTCAAAAGTTTGCTTCCAGCCGAGTCACATTATATCAGAGCTGTATTGAGCCTTTGAAGCTGTGCATTCCTGACATCTGAAACCCATGGAAATCCTAGCAAATATAGGTAGTCCTCCCTTAACAACCCTAACCGGCAACTCTGCCACTAAATGAGACACCCTATGACTTGTGATTTTACTACTGGTTTCTGCATTGGTTTCTGCTTTTTAGAAGCCAGCTGTGGAGTTTGCCAATGGCAATTGTGATTGCAGGATGCGGAAATAGTTGTAAAGACCTCCCCATTGTGAGCACCTGAATGTTGATTCTATGACACCAGGAACGCCACAATGATTGGTTGTAATCGAGCGGTGGATAAACAAGACAGCCATTAAGCAAGGACTACCTGTAATAGAGGGACGCAGTGGCTTAGTGGCTAAGATGCCGAGCTTGTCAATCAGGAAGGTTGGCAGTTTAGTGGTTCGAATCCCTAGCGCTGCGTAATGGAGTGAGCTCCTGCTACTTGTCCCAGCTTCTGCCAACCTGGCAGTTCAAAAGCACGTAAAAATGCAAGTAGAAAAATAGGGACCACTTGGGTGGGAAAGGAACAGCGTTATACCCTCCAGAGCCGGAATTGACTAGCACATAGGTGCGAGGGGAACCTTTTATCTTTACCTGTAATAGGTACAGACTTGTGTGAATGCCTTGCTATCATTTCAGGTCCTTGAAAACTAATAAATGCTTCTTCCCCTCTTCGCACGCAAGTAATTTTAATAAAGAAATTGATTGTTTGGACTCTGCCATAGAACATTTGATGCCATAATAGAACACTGAATGCTGCCTTGATGGAAGTATGGTGTGTCCTTTCCTTAATGTCCCTGGCACATATGCTCCAAACAATGAATGGTTCATCCGGACTATGAATGCCGTGTTTTCGGTAGGGGGAGATAAAATGCATCCTGACATTCTGAACAGTTTCTTGCGACTTCTTGCTGAAGGTGAGCAAACCATGAGGGAGAATGAATGCAATCCGGTTATTAAAAAATAATAATAATAATAATTTCCAACCATTAAAAAAAACAAAACACCACACACCCTGTTTTTCTTAGGCTTTGAAGATGAGAAGGAAGACATTCAGCTGCGGTTTCACGCTGTCCAATCTTACCTGTTGTTATTAGAGGACAAAAATGCAGTTTATCCGCAGAAGTTTCTTCAAGTGATGAGTTGGGTAAGAAAGAAAGATTAGACATATTTATTTTTTAAAGAAATATATTCTGGCTGAATATTTCTATTTCACATAATAGAAAAATGAATTTTGTCAGTTTAGCAGTTTCTTAAACTAGAGAAGTTCCAAATTAGAATGTACAATCTCATTAGAAGGCTGTGCTATGAGTGGTGCAGTGGTCTACAGGCGGAGCTCTCGCCTCACAATCAGGAGGCCGCGAGTTCGATTCTAGGTTAGAGGCAGATATTTCTCTTTATGGGCATGTTGAGAATACATCTGCTGGAACAAAACTCCGCATTGGTGACAGGAAGGGTATCCAGCCAGGAAACACTCAGCTCCATTATGTTTATGGGGTCGTTAAAAAAGATGATGCTTAGAACGCTGTGCTATTAAAAATGACTTTTTAACTATTGACTAATCCTGATGTTTTAATTTTCTCCTGCCAGGTCTTGGGGGAGTACAGTTACCTCCTGCAAAACGTGGACCCCGAAGTTGTTTTAGCGACCTTGTACCGGATCCTTAAAAGCAACGCCACTTGTGAAACCAAGACTTGGATCACGGCTGCAATTTCTAAAATAGCTTCTCGTACTAATGGCTCGAAGACGGTTGAGAATTTCCTCTTGGAATTCAATGCATCTTTGGATACCAGCATGAGGCAGCATGCGTTTGAATTGAAATACCTTTATGAAAACAAGGAACTGATGAAGAGATTGTTTCCACTTGATGCGAGCTGTAAGAACATTGTGGTGAGTCCTTGTTACTATAGGTGCAATGGTACGTGAGAATCAGCTTTGGCTTTCAGAGTTTTTTTTACTACCAGTTCTGTGGGCGTGGCTTGGTGGGTATGGCAGGGGAAGGAGACTGCAAAATCCCCATTCCCTCCCCACCCCACTAACCTGCTTTCCAGCTCCGTTCTCCTGTGCAGGGCAACCAAAGGAGACCCAGCTGATCAGCTGGGACTCAATGGGAGGCAGAGAGAAGAGATGGGGACGGGGCCAGTCAGAAGTGGCATTTGCTGGTTCTCTGAACTACTCAGAATTTCCTCTACCAGTTCTCCAGAACCGGTCAGAACCTGCTGAATACCACCTCTGGTGAGAATGACCTTGGGGGCAGGAGGAAGAGCCACAGACCAGGCAGTAGTTAGATAAAAGGAAAGAGAGTCTACAGTAGGAATTGAACTGTGGCAAAGTCTCAGAGGGGACCCCACCTAGTTTCTTTGTACCCCCACTTTTGTATTTAAAGAGGGGGGAAACATGTCCTTTCAAACTTGCAGGACTCTTATTGTAACCTTACAATAAGGACGGAACTAATAGTCCTGGCGGTATTGTCTGAGTACGTTGAAAGGCTTAATAATACAGGTAGTCCTTGACTTACGACAGTTCATTTAATGAATGTTCAAAGTTACAACGGCAGCGAAACAAGTGTCTTAACGACCGTTTTTCACAGTTACAACTTTTCCAGCGTTCCCACGTGATCAAAATTCAGAGGCCTGGCAACGGGTCCATATTTACGACCGCTGCTGTTCCCCAAGGTCACGTAATCACCCCCTTTTGCGACCTTCTGACAAGCAAAGTCAATGGGGAAGCCGGATTCACTTAACAACCGTTTGATTAACTTATCAACCACAGGGATTCACTGAACAAACGAGGCAAGAAAGATTGCAAAAATGGGGCAAAATTCCCTTAACAAATGTCTCACTTAACAACAGAAATGTTGGGCTTAATTGTGGTCATAAGGACTTGGAAGGGAGGGTGGTGTTTAATCTACAGACCCCTCACATCCCAGACATAAACTGGTTCAACTCCTACCCTCAAAACGACGCTATAGAACACTGCACACCAGAACAACTAGACACAAGGACAGTTTTTCCCCCAAACGCCATCCCTCTGCTAAACAATACTGTCAATACTGTCCAACTATTTACAAAATCTGCACCACTATTAATCTTCTCATCACTCCTTATCACCCATCCCCTCTCACTTATGAATGTCGCTTGTATCCTTACTATTTATATTGAGTGTATCCTAGTATGATATGATTGCTTATTGTATCCTATGACTATTATTATGTGTTGTACCTTATGAATCTTGATTCTTGATGAATATCCTTTCTTTTATGTACACTGAGAGCATTTGCACCAAGACAAATTCCTTGTGTGTCCAATCACACTTGGCCAATAAAAGAATTCTACTCTACTCTACTCTACTCTACCCTACCCTACCCTACCCTACCCTACCCTACCCTACCCTACCCTACCCTACTCTACTCTATTCTCATTCTATTCTACTCTACTCTACTCTTATTCTAATTCTAATTCTAATTCTATTCTTATTCTATTCTGTTCTATTCTATTCTAAAATTTGCTCAGTAAGTAAAAGATCTCAGCGAGCCATTTTACTTGGAGCAATGCCGACTGTTCTGGACATTATTGTTCCTCTTCCATAATAATAAAACCTAATGTCCAGGCTTATGCACGTAGTCCAGTTCTTGTTGAGCACATCTGATTCCAATTAGTGTCTTCCAAGGACCTCGATGTACCTTTGTACTGCCAGGGCTGCATGTTGCCACTGAGCAGTGGGATCTGGCATGTCTGCCCGTCTGCTGGAGAAAGAAAAATAAAATAAAATCCAGAATTAGGCTTTCCTTTCAAAAGAACTAACCGAATTATAATCTTTAACTCATGTCTGATTCTATGTAGGTGGATGCTTCCTTGTCTTTCTTAGACGGCTTTGTGGCCGAAGGATTGGACCGGGGTGCCTTGCCATACAAACCTCATCATCAAAGACAGGAAGAGAAACTGTCCCAGGAAAAAGGTGATTGCTTTCTAAGAAATGAAGATCATGTATTGCTTCCTCACTAATTCCTAATTGCTTCCTAACAGTGAGAACAATGAACAGCGATAGCAATAGCACTTAGACTTCTGTACCGCTTCACAGTGCTTTACAGCCCCTCCCTCAGCGGTTTTAGAGAATCAGCTTATTGGCCCCAACAATCTGGGTCCTCGTTTTACCTACCTCGGAAGGACGAGTCAACCTTTAGCTGGTCAGGATCGAACTCATGGCAGTAGGCAGAGTTAGCCTGCAATATTGCATTCTAGCCACCGGGAGGGAGGGAGGCAAGAGGCTGGCTCTGTAAACCACTTAGAGAGGATTGTAAAGCCCTGTGAAGCGGTATATAAGTCTAATTGCTATTACTACCTTCCTTCCTTCCTTCCTTCCTTCCGCCCTCCTTCCCTCCTTCCCTCCGGTTAAAATGCAATATTGCAGGCTAACTCTGCCCAGTGCCAGGAGTTCGATCGGCTCAAGGTTGACTCATCCTTCCCTCCTTCTGATATGGGTCAAACGAGGACCCAGATGGTTGGGAGCAAATATGGTAGCTCTGTAAACCACTTAGGGCTGTAAAGCCCTGTGAAGCGGTATATAAGTCTAATTGCTATTGCTATTAATCAAATATTTTTTTCCCCAAGTTTTTGCAGTAGATATTATGTTCTGGCTCGACAGGCGTTGATGATTGTTAACTTCTCTTGGCAGCTTTGAATTTTGAACCCTACGGAGAATCCCTTTCTCGGAGCTTCCCTGTATCAAGAATTCCCGGCAGACAGTCTCCAACCGGAGTTTCTCTGAGCTCGGACAATAGTGTTGAGACAGGACAGAAAGAGTAAGTAGGTTTGTCTCGTCAGAAAAAGAACTTCTAAACCACAGCCTGGCCTCCATTCATATCTTGTAACCCAACTGTTTGGCCATCAAAACAGTAACTTCTGTCCAAGTCAGGGAAAATGTTAAAATATAAAAATATCAGAGGTCTTATTGGACTACTAGACAACCTCCAAAGGCCCCTTCCAGCCCTAAGATTCTAAGAATCTAACCCAGGGGTTCCCAAACTTGGCAACTTTAAGACTTGTGGACTTCAACTGGCTGTAGAATTCTGGGAGTTGAAGTCCACAAGTCTTCAAGTTGCCAAGTTTGGAGACCTCTGATCTAACCACTATCCCCTCTTCAGGAACAACAGTCTGAAGCTTGAAGGCGTCAAGAAATTGTGGAGCAAAGAGGGTTATCTGCCCCAGAAGAAAAACCAAGAAGAGAAAGAAGAGAAAACCACGGAGGCTGTGCTTCAGGGTGGCCCATCAGTGGAGATGGTGGCTAGCATTTTCCCATTGCAGCCGAAGGAAGAAACGACGGATCAGACAGAAGGGACGAAAGAAAAGCAGCAGCTGGCTTCAGTGCTCTTTGTTGGGCTGGGATCACAAGGCAGCACTAATCTGGTAGGCTAGCTAAATTGCGTTTCGTTTCCTTCCTTCCTTCCTTCCTTCCTTCCTTCCTTCCTTCCTTCCTTCCTTCCTTCCCCTTCCCTTCCTTTCTTTCTTTCTTTCTTTCTTTCTTTCTTTCTTTCTTTCTTTCTTTCTTTCTTTCTTTCTTCCTTCCTTCCTTCCTTCCTTCCTTCCTTCCTTCCTTCCTTCCTTCCTT